CACCCCGCCCCGACGCCTCGTCACGAATCCGCACCTCTCCCCTTCTGAAAGATATATAATAGGAAGTAGGCAGTCTCTGCGCACGTGATGCAAGATCTTCCATAGAACGGGGTTACTACTCTTCATAGAAATAACCCATTAGCAAAAATAATCTAGCAATAGTATGGCAATACAGGTGTAAAGGAAAAAACAAACTTCTAGAGCACGGCAAGTGAGCGAAGGTGATAACGTTTTGTAAATGAACATTAGATGAGAAATTTCATTGAAAGAAGTTACACATACAATATTTGCCCCTGATTTTAGGCAACCCATCATACATTGGCGTTCAGCAGGTAAGCGAAATTCCTTTCATTATGCCAGAACGTAACCTGCTCATTAACAGTGCCTAAAAAGTCCCCCAATAATTAGAGGCAAATTTCACATATGTAACTTCGTCATGATATTTCCAAATTTCTTAGTTATATATTCATGAAAGAAATTTCATCTTCAATCCCCTACTTGTTCTATGCATTTGTTACTTATTCCTAGGCATCGTGTATGAAATTCTACTGCAAATGCTAATTCAAAAATTGTTTTGATAATATTTCGTTTAGGTGAACAGAGAGATAAAAAATGTTATTGAAGATTCACGAACTTTTTTGAATTTTTTTTTAAAAACTTTTTCCCTCGAATGAAATAAATCTACGTATGCATTTCGCGTGATTCCTTTTTGACGAGAGACCGCGGAGAGACTGCCCGTTTGCTGCCGAGGGTTGCTTCCCCGCTCGCCCCGTAGACAACACCCCTTGCGAACGCCTAGAGCTCGTCCTTACGCGGCGTCGCCGCCGCCGCCGCCGCTTCTTCATCGTCTTCGTCGTCGTCGAGGGCGTCGAGGGCGGCCGGGTGCACGTCCAGGAGCTGCACCTCGTCGGAGGCGTTGGCGATGGAGGGAGCGCTGCGGCGGCGCCGGCCCAGGGCGTCGGCGGCGGGGTCCGCCTCCACCAGGCTGATGCGCGACCACACCGCGCCCGTCCTGCGCAGCGCAAGCGCACAGCGTGAGGCGCAGCCCGCCTCCGGCGCCACGCCCACTCATCAGAGGGCGCCTCCCTCGGATTAAACAGCACAGTTATTTGCGTATTTCATTCTTAATGCTTACTTTCATTGAAATTTCAATACGAAATGGGCACACTTGTAAATTATTAAACGATACCAAGCACTTCTTCCATTTCAAAAGAAGAAAAATAAATAAAAGCATTAAAAAGAGATAAACACAAAAAGAAGAAAATGGGAAATAATGAGAATAAGTAAAGGAGGAAGACGTTGCAACATTGAACAATAAAAGTACGAAGATATTGAAGAGGAAAGTAATAAGATTGAGTTAAAAATGAGGAGGAGGATGAGGATGTTTAAGGTGAAGAGCATAATAAGAGTTTTTCAGAATATATACATCGCAATACTCTGTAAGACACTTGAAATGGAATATCTGATTCGTAGACCAGCAGTGAAATATCAATGACGAACTTCATATTTAAGTTGTCAGAATATTTTGCTTAGTACGGTTTTCCAATAATTTCCGATACTATAATTATTTTGAGTTCTGAAATTTGCTGACAATAATAGAAGTAAAATATGACCTCGCCCTCCATTGAAGCTCTCATTTCTTACATGGTTTTTGAATTTAAGGCTGAGAGGTTATCTGAGATGCAGTAGATGGGGAAATCATTTATAAACTCTTTCTAGAATGTGCTTCTTTAAAATAATAGAAACATGACATCCTTAATCCGGAAATCGTGAAATCGCGTCCCATTGGGAGCGTACCTGTCGGAGGAGGCGGAGAGATCTGCGCCGACGGTGACGTCACGCGGGCGGCTGAAGTCGCACTGCAGGGCGAAGGCCGCGTCGCCCGGCATCACCAGTTCCTCGTCCGCCTGCACCACCACCACGTTGGAGTAGGTGTCCGCTTCCTGCAATACAGACGCGCGTCGTGTCGCGTTGCTTCGCCGTCGCCACCTCTGACCTCGAGCGCGCGCTGCCGGGTGCGCACTAGAAATGCAACTGTAATGGTAAAAGCACCTGCGTACAAGAGTATATAATGTATTGCGTAAGAGAAGAAATTGATATTTCTCTAAAGCGTACGCGAAAGAAATATCGCTTCTCTAAGTTATCAGAGTTCGGGCGGCGTTCGAAAGCAGGCGCTGTGAAGCATATTTACGCGAGGGTCCCAAAACCGATGTCAACGCTAACGAGGAGGCAGATTGTGGAAATGCGAAACAATCAGAACTTATGAGAAAGTGACCTGTAAAGAGCATACGTACTGGGATAGTAATGTTTATTACGTTCAAAACGTGGAAAGTTCAAGCGGGGGCGTAATGATCTCATACATTTCCCTTTTTCTATAAAAGCATTCTCTAGCGTTGATACCGGGACTGACAGCCCAGAGATACTTTTGTATCAACTCCACGCTGCTCTGTAGCTCTATTTTTTTATTTCTACTTATTTTCATACTTTATCAAACTTGGTCCCTGTACTTGAAACCTCGCTCATTATCACGCTCCTCCAGGGGACCTAGCTTTCCTGCGAACTCAATATATTTGCATTCTGTACTGAGAGCATTTTTAATTGCCTGTACGCACTGTTGGTAGCACATCTGCAGCGAAAGGCATTACACAACGATAGCAAATTTGATTGATATCTTTGATCTGTTAATAAAAATAAAGTAAAAGTATTTCTGTATAGCATTCTATGTTTAAAATTGTAAAATATTTCTTTAAAACAGAGACCTGAAGATGGCTAGATGATATCAGAAACGTTGCCAACTCCAACTTGAAATGAATTGTAACAATAAATCACTGTTATTTACAAGAAAGCTGAACGTCTTAAACTAAAGTAGTAACTTTTTTATGAATACTTTTATAACTATTTATTTCCCGAGGTTTATTTTCGTGTCCCGGGAACACGTGCTTAGTAGTCCGCAACGTGGCAACGTCACTCCCTCGTCCTTTTAATCGGACTGTACGCTTGCGATGATCGCCCGAAATTAAATAACTGTTTTTTTAATACTTTCGTAAATATTTATTTTCTTGCCCCGGGAACACGTGCTCAGTGGTACCCAAAGTGGCAACGTCCTTCAACTCGCAAATGTCAATCAATCACCACCTTCTTTTAATCGCGAAGGTCGGGGAGTCGGGAGGTGTTGGCGAGTCGGGAGGTGTTGGCGAGTCGGGAGGTGTTGGCGAGTCGGGAGGTGT